AGTTATTAAAGTGCAAAAGCTTGAAACATCACAGTTGCCAATATTTTGAATATTGTCAAGATGTTTTGATGTTTACTTTTGAAACTTGCAGTCCAGGTAGAAATTAAGTAGGACAAATGAAAAGTAGGGAATGTGAAATACGTGAAATCATGCAGGAAAACATTTGTTGTATTTTAGTATTTGGCACTTTCTGTCCCTAACACGTAAATCATTTTTCAACATCTTCTCAATATTTAAGAAGGATGTTCTGTTCCAAAGGTCTACTAATAATTCAAATGGTTTACTTTTTGTATGCTGAAGGTTTAGCAAGAATTAACACTTGTTCCCATTAGAGTTACATAAATAGTCTTAAGAGGAAAAAAGATAGAAAAACTTGCTGGGGTGGAACTGGAAAGAATAATGATACTGTTGTTGCCCTGAGCTACAGCATGAAGAGGGCAAGTGTTTTAAGAAGCTGTACATGAAAAAAACAAACACTTTATCTAGGGAAATCTGTTAACTTAGATTGACTTGGGGTGCTTCCAGACAGGCTTCTTTGGATGTCAGCTACGCAGACACCTGCAAGCCACACGGGGACCACGATTACTGATGCTAATCCCTCTTAGTCCAAACAGCAGACTACAGAATAGCAGGATCAGTATAAATGGCGCAGTCCGAGAGTGCAACTGTAGTACAAAAAATAAATAAAAGCCATGTTGGTTTCTTTCCCCTGTGGCTTCAAACGATGAGAGCTTAGTAAAATGGTTAAACACAAAAGATAAGTTTCTGATTAAGATCTCTGCTTAGCCATATACATGCTGTATGTTCACCCTCCTGCTCCCTCTACCCTGTTATTTTGGAGTAGTAATGCAACCTGTGTTACAGGGGTGTGAAAGATGTTCATAGGCTTCAGTAAATTTGCTTGCCATGGTGAGGGTGTGCTGCCCTCTCTGCAGTCAGTGACTGGTTTTCCAAACATTTTAACCTTTGAAGGAGGACAAGGTTTGTCCTGCCAGTTGTGCAGCAATTTGCCAAGTTCCAAAGTTGGAAGCAAAACTGGGGTTGGTTTGGCAACTGCATGGCCACTTCTTCCAAAGAACTTTTGCTATATAAGCCAGACCAAACCAGTAATACACACAACCTGTAACCAGTTCCCAGCTTGTCAGTAAGATGGCATTCCTATAAAGTTATGTAAACAGAATGAGTAAGAGAGACTACACTAAAATTTGAGTGGAAAGTTGGAAGGTGCGGTTTCCTGTCCCCTAAGTTTATATGCTATACACTTTCTCACTAAACTTTAACAGTAGGCATTCCATGATATTTTAAAATAGTTTTAACGTTGCATTAGACGTCTTGCCTTTTGTTTCCTCTTGTGAGGAACCCAAGGCAACTTGCATAGCTCCATTTGATTCTCATAATAAGAACCTTATGACTAGTCCAAAGTCACTCAGAGAGTTTCATAACCGAATAGGTTCCAGAACCCAGGTCTCCATGGTCCCTAGTCCACCATTCTAACCATCACACTACGCTGGCTCTAAAATGTGACTAGCATCTGATTTTGCAGGAGATAGTTTTGCCTTTCTTAAACTTACTTTACACTCTGTAATCATGTGTGTGTATGTGTGTGTGTGTGTACTGACAGCTTGAAGCATATGGCAAGGGCATCCTAGAGATGTACTGGAAGGTGAAAGGCTATGTGCTTTGGCAGTTGGACTAGTAGTATCTACCCTTGAGCTGTAATTCTGTACTCATTTACCTGTAAATAAACTCTGTTGAACTTACTGGGAGTTCTCAGTAAACATTTATTTCATTATTAGATTTATATCCTGCCCCATTAGCCACAGTGGCTCTCTCAGTGGGATACATAGGATTGTTCTGTTAACCTAAAATAATCCAGCATCCGTGCTGTATGTTTTAGCTGTGACTGCAGTTCAATGTCTTCTTAATTTGGGAATAAGTTGCAAGTACAACTGTGACATTTGCTTCCAAATAAACACAGATGTAAGCCTTGAGAAAAAAAGTTGGTGATATGTCTCTGATAATTATAGTCAATGTAAATATATACGGGAGAGGTTTTCATAGCAAACATGGCAGGACCATCTGTTTCACTGTCATTTTGGACACTGTGGAGCATTGTTTGTGACATTGTTTGGATGTAATATTCCTGTTATAAATGACTATAATTCTATTTTAAAATCTATTCCATGAAGTGCTCTTGTTTGGAAATGAAGTGATACATGAGTGTTTATGTAGCTTGTGTCTTAATTTTCAAATATTTATGTATAAAACTTCCTATAGTGCAATCCTTAAGCATGTTTACTCAGCAGAAAGTCTCAGCACAACTGGATTTGGTCAGTAGTATTTTCCTGCAGTCAAGTGCTCAAAGCAGTACAGAAGACTGTAGACCCCCTGGAGACACACCCTCCACTAATGAAGGGCCAAGTCCAAGAGCCAGGTGCCAGGAAGCCTTGTTCCACACTGGGCCTTATCTGGCTGCATGTGGGGAAGAAATGTGTATGAGGGCAGGTACTTCATGGTGTGGAGAACATGGACCACTGGGTGGGGGACACCCAGCACTTGATTTTGGCCTTGAAACTAGTATGCAGTCTATACAGCCATGTTTGTACTGTTTTTACATACTGCAGTGAACAGTTGGGATTAACTGATGCGTCCAAATTCATTCAAGAATAGTCTTAAGATAAATAATTTTGCAGTATTTTAAGTGTGCCTTTACCAATACATGTATCTGTTGAATAATATTAAAATACTGCACTTGCCCATGGTTAAGTGACAGAGCCTTATGCTTATGTTTTCAGCTGGAGGTGTTTCTTGTTGGATCATGTTCTGGAGAATACCCAAGGGGCTGCAGTTTTGTAAATGCACAGCAATTCCCCTATGGTCTGCTTTGAACATGCACGAAAGAAAACAGGTTGGGAAGTGTGTGGCAAATTAATGAGCTCGCAGGGGATGATTGGGGAGTGGCATGCTTTTCTGCGTTTGGAAACCCATTTTGTGGCAGAGATAGCCTTTTCTGTAAGAAATTGTGGAGGGGATTTTGGTTGCTCTTTTTTCTTACGTGTGTGATGGTGATGGAGCAAAATGGTCATGGTGTGATTTATATTCAAATCAAATTTAAAGCCACATCTTATATTACTTGGAAATAAATCCCACTTAATATCTGTATATTACTTACTCCAAGAAAATGTGCACAGGATTGTGCTTGCAATATAATTGGTGGAGTAATTTGTTGTAATTGGAAAAATTGTAAGGGTGCCATCTTCTGGATAAAAATATGCTACAGAAAAGGACAGGATGCAGTACTGTGTAGAAGTCAAGGCATGTTTCATCCCAGTGATCATCCCAAGAGAATTGGCATTAAATGTGTTTATTATTTATTTACCTTCTGAATGCGTATTTCTCTTGAATCAGGCATTTAAAAGTTCTTGAAAATGTTTTGGTAAACCTAAATGGCATTGCATTTTTACCAGGTACTGTTTACAATAATACCGCCATTATGTTCTAGAAAACTAGCTCACACTCTCTGTTGTACAGTATTCAAAACCACTACTCCCATGGTTCTATAAATTTATCCATTTTGATAGAAAAGACATTTATTCTTGATATTTAGATTTAAAGGGCTGCAGTATTGTTCTCACTTTCTTGGAAGTAAATATAATTGAACTCTGGGATTGACTTCTGAATTAATGTGCTTTGAACAGCTATACAATGTGATCCCGTACTTGAGTATATCTAAAAATAGGTCTCTGACCTAGAACACTTTGTGGTTTCCCAGAATTAGGTGCATTATTGTTCATGTAATACTCTTTAAGGGTGAGGCAAGTGTCATGTTATTTTTAAATATAAAAAATAGCTCAAATTGCTATTATAGCTAATAGCTGTAGCTCAGATTGTTTTGGAACCTTTGCACTTGTTAATAAGATTTATGAACAGAATCATCTCTTGAATGATACAGTGGGCCACTGAGTTAATATGGGCACAGTCCTTTGCACACCTAGTCAGAAAAAAGCCACAAAAGTCTATGCTAGCTGGGAAATGCTGGGAGTTGTAAGACTTTTTACTGTCTGAATGGGCACTGGTTTATGCCCTAAATGTAGTATGCTATTTCTGGATGTAGTTTGTCTTCATAAGAAGAGATCTCTGTAGATATGACAGTTGCTAAATAAAATATTTAAGATGATTTTTTGTAAGATTTAAATTAATTAGCTAATAAAACAAGTGTTGAAGACACTACCTCTGTGCAAATAGGCATGGCAGATTTTGAGAAATTTTAAAAATTAAGGAAATAATGAATCTGTGTCCTTTACAGTTGTTTGGGGGTACGTAGCTATGCGTGCCTGGTATTTTTTTCCTGTTCATTCTTCTTTTTAGATGCTGCCGTCAGGCAGAGTTCTAAAACTGTTCTTTAAATTCTTATATGAAAAGCAGGTTGAATTGGAAGTGTGTCCTAAAGAGTGTTTAAAAAGGAAAATGCTTCCCCAGTAGCTCTGTAAAGGATGAAGAATATAACTTACAACCATTTGCTTAATTCTGGAAAAATTAAAGCATACTTTATTGTTTCTGTGCAAGGGTGTTTTAGCTCGAGGCCAGTGTTTTTTATTTTAAATAAACGGTGTGTGCCTCTGTGCCAGCCTCAATGCCAGAGGAAATGGAAACATCTCCTTAACAGTTAAATATTATATATGCTGACTTTTAAAAGGCTAGCTCGCCATCTGTGAGATCATACAGAAAAAAGAGTGAAAATGCGTCATGTAGGCATAGTTGTGCCCTCTGGACCATTGAGCCATAAGAAAACGCTGCGACTGGGCGGCTCGCAGCTCTGAACGGCGTGGAGGAGCAGTGCGAGTGTCTCTTGCCGTCCACTCTCTGCACTGACATTCTCGCTGCTCCTTCATGGCGGACACACCTAGGAGGTTTGGGCTGGCTCCCATTGGCTGAGGCTGCGGGGGGGGCGGGGTATGCGGACTTTTGCATGACCTCACTCCTGTTTGTCTCCGGCTCGGTGTTCCGTCTTCAGTTTCAGCTTCGGCAAGGAGAGTTTCACTTCTGTTTCCCGTAGCGGAGGTTACGAAAGAATGCGCTAGCTAGCCTGCCTCTCTTTCAGACCAAGCAGCTAAACAAAAAGGGCTTTTTTCCTCTTTTCATAGACTTTCTCAACTGGAATAAACACCAAGAGGGACAAATCTCAGCGTGAGGTGCCTTCTCAATTGCCACATTGGTGTATCTAATGTGCCACAAGGATGAGCCCGGCATTTGGAGCTATGGAAGTGGAGCACTATTCCAAAGGGGTCCTGCTAGAGCCTTTTGTGCACCAGGTCGGGGGTCACTCCTCTGTCCTCCGGTTTAATGACAAGACCATCTGTAAGCCCCTTATCCAGAGAGAACACCAGTTCTATGAGACTCTTCCTGCAGAAATGCGTAAATTCACTCCTCAGTATGAAGGTATGTTAACAACCTTAGAAGGGGGCTGGGCGTTTTATTCCCTTTGTAAACCCAAATGTGCTCTTTTGTCTCTAAAATCTCCTGTGTTGAAGAGATTTTAGGGGGTTTCTTTTCATGTATTTTGATGTTGTCTGAGCCAGGCTGTGGAGATGCAGGGTGGAGATGCTTGCCAATGGGTCTTTGGGCTGACTAACAGCATTAGAGTAGATCAACTCTGCTGATGATAGCCTATAGAGCGCCCTTAGGCACAGGTAGGTAAGTATATTGATACAGCTTGTATGTTTTCAGTAATGATGTGCTGCTACTTTCTGATTTACTTGTCATGTGTTTTTATTTTTATTATTATATAAACTGGATCAGTTTGCTTGTCTTGTGGAAGTTTAGTGTGGATTATTGGATTGTTCTAAATCTCCTACATTTTGGAGGATAGCAATGAAAGCTAAAAACTACTGTTAAACATATTCAGCTTGTTTTTGCCCTTAAGGAGATGGAAAAAAAACCCCTGTGGCCATTAGGTAGGCAAAAGGTGAAATACCGTCGAGGAGGCTGTCTCGGATGGTATGTGGAAGTGGATATTCCAGTTTTTCTAAGCATTGCATTAAGCAATCAAAACATTTTGCTTTCATGGAGTACCCAAACAATTTAAAGATAGTCTGTATTTTAACATTAAATTTTATATTGTATTATATTTCTTCACTGAACTAAGCAAGCATGATTTCTTCCGTGTGTGTGTGTGTGTGTGTGTGTGTGTGTGTGTGTGAGAGAGAGAGAGAGAGAGAGAGAGAGAGAGAGAGAGAGAGAGAGAGAACGAACGAACGAACGAACGAACGAACGAACACTGGAGGAAAACTAGGAAAGATACTGTTACTTGTATTGCTGTAATGGTGTGCATACTTATCAAAACATTTAAAAAGTCTTATTACAAGCTGTTAGAAATGATAGATGAGAATGTGACTTATGAATGTTTAACAAAATGTAATAAATTGTACTAGCATATGTGGTTTTTCTCTTTTGGGGGGTGTTTGGGAGGGATTAAGGGGGGGCTTATTTGGTCCATCTTTGTTGTTTTTTCCAGGATAAAGCCAATGGCCATTTTCTAGCTGGCTTCCCCCCTTTCCTGTAGTTCTTTCTGTGTGGGCAGCAGGAGTGTCAGTCAAAGCTTCCGTACTCCCCACCCTTGCTACTGTAGGTCCCAGAGCCGTCTGCCCTGCCAGAAGTGCCAGTCTCGCCAAGAACCCTAGTGATGGCCGGCAAGAATGTGCAGATTGATTGATTTGAGGATAAAGAGAGAGGACTGAGAACACCCCCCTATTCATTCAGCCAGTTGTTACAACTTCTGCCGTAACAGTCCTATATGGCATCGGGGTGCAGCCCTGACAGAACTTTCCTCTAAGACTCTCAAAATAGAACACAGTGCTCTAGAGACTTTGAGATGAGCAGGCAAAAATGCTTTGAGGTTCACCATGTTTGATGTATCTCAGTCAAATTTGTTTTGTACTATATTTTGTTATTTATTTGACAAGATTGCTACGTAAGTGAAATCAATAAACAATATTCCCCAAAGGAACAACAACAAAAAAGAATTGTAAAATTAAACGTGGTGATTCTAAGTGGAAGCCTTTGAATTAGTTGTCTGTTGTAATGTGTGCTGTTGTTCTTGTTTTGCCCTACTCTTGCAAGCCTTTCCTTTTCCCTGGAATATATTAACCCTTCTGAAAGCCTGTGTTTGAAAAAATGCTTTTAGCTTTGCTGCTAAGCAAAACTTAAAGCTCTTGGTGTTTCTGTGCAGGGCATATTCCACTGCAAGATGTAAATAAACTATGTTTTACATCTCTCTTAGGGACAGATAAGTCAGCTTATTTAAAAGAATAATAATAAAAATTTTCAATAATTGAAAACGTCTCCTGTTATTATTTGATTACTCTGTGATTCTGCTCACAAGAAAGAGAAGAATCTCCTGTATCGTTAATGTGTTGTCTTCATGATAAATTGTCTTCTCTGTGAGGTGTCACCTTGTCTAGATGTTTTGATATTTGTTAGGTGGACAGATGAGTTTTGGCCTGTGGCAAGATAAAAAACTAAGGACTGGGGTAAGAGAAAAACCAAAGTTGCTATATTCTTAGTATAAAATTATGTTGTGTTGTAAGAAGTATTGCCTTCTAATTTCTCTAGTCTTAACTGGCTGTCTCATTTCTTCTCTCAAGGTGTGGTATCTGTAAGCTTTGAAGAGGATGAAGATGGAAACCTCTGTCTAATAGCTTATCCATTAAATGGGGACCATGATAACTTAGAAAGCCTAGATAATTCTGACTGTGAACCCAAAAATAAATTGCTCCGGTGGACTAATAAAAAGACTGTATTGCTAGAAAATGAAAAGCTAACTAAGGAATGGGTCCGGCAGCACAGGAAAGAAGAAAAAATGAAAAGGTAAATAAACAGTAAACAAAACAAAAACTGAGGGTGATTCTGTTAGCTTTGTACTCATGTGTACGCAGGTGTCACTGATTATGCAGTACAGTCCAAACATCTCGAAACTAAATCACATTGGGTTGCATTTAGCCCAAAGAGGCTTCCAGAGCAGGTTCAGAAGGTGCTTTGGGGCTGTGTAGGGGAGCAGAGAAAGGGAATTCATGCTGCAGGTACAAAAACCCATTCGTACAGTGTTTGCTTGAAGCCCTTGTATTTAGTAGGTCTTTTACCAAGTTGTGCATAGCATCACATCCTTAGGCTTTCCTATTTTCAGCAGCAGATTGGGTTAACAAGGCCTAACTGAAACATTTTATAATTTGAATCTTGAAATTTCAAATGCTGGCAACTGGTAAAACAGTTCTTTGCAGAACAATATCAGTTCTGTGCCCAACTAAACCTTGTAAAATTTTGCGGTAATGGCAGTTACCACAAAGGGTAATGCTGAAAATTACCCTTGCTTTTTATTTTATAGTAGCATATCAGATAATTAATTTCCACAGGATCACGGCCATGTTAGCCTGTTTCTCCAGAACAACAAACAAAACAACATTTGGCACCTTAAAGATCAATAAGACATTTATACTGGTATAAGCTTTTGTAGACTGGAGTCCCATTCCTGAGATGCAAGTACTCTTGGATGAAGGCTTGTCTGAGACAACATTGGGCAAATTGCTCCGATGATGTAAAGAAAGTGGCTACCACCTGTCAGTTGCAAAAGCTTTATGAAGTGGGCCATATGGATGCTGCATGTGGGGAAAGAAGGCTGGCAGAGTACAATTCTGGTTTATAATGTTTTTGAAAGGAAAGAATATGTCTGTTTCACTAAAAATATTATTTTTTTATTTTTCAGTCATAAATTAGAGGAAGAATTTGAGTTGCTGAAGAAATCTGAAGTGTTGTATTACAGTGTTGAGAAAAAGGGGAATGTCAGTTCGCAGTTTAAACATCATAATCCTTGGAGTATAAAATGCCATCAGCAGCAGCTACAGCGAATGAAGGAAAATGCAAAACATCGGAATCAATATAGTATCCTTTGTACAATATGCCTTGAATGCTGCTGAGCAAGAACTTATCTAAGGAATATTACGTTAACCATGGCACGTAATTCAAGCTTTGAACTTTGGAAGCTATGCTGGGGTTCTTGTCAATGGCCGGTGGATAGTCTCTGTAAAGGATTATTTTCTGCTCCTGGAATCTGACTTAAGTTGTTTCTGTGCTGGCATAAATGCATGTCAGTTGCCTTCTCTGAAATTGATGCACAGCCCCTGCAGCTGATAGGGGCTGTTGGTGCCCGCTGTAGGCAAGAAGCCATCACATGGCCATCCAAGACAATAATCCACCGCTAAACCAACAGTGGTGGAAATGTCTGTACAGCGCTGCTGCAAGTGCATGCGTCCTTAAACCAAGCATTTACCTGAGGGCAAATCTAAGTTACATAAGCAGATCCTCATGCCTTAATTAGTGGATGATCCCAGTGGAGTGAGGTTCTGCTGTTTCTGAACAACATGTTTAGCTTAGGAAAAAAGGTGAATTAGGGGAGAACTGATGGAGGTGTACAAAATTAGGCTAGGCATGAAGAGAGTGGATAGGGAGACATTTTTCTCTTTTTCTATAATACAAGTACCCAAATGGGTCATCCCATGTAGCTGATTGGTGGGAAATGCAGGAGAAATAAAGGGATACTTTCTGAAACAACACACAGTTAAACTATAGAATTTACTTCCGCAAGGTAGAGTGATCGCCGCCAATTTTGCTGGCTTTGAAAAGGGAATTGGACAAATTCCTGGAAGAGGAGGCTGTTGATAGCTACTAGTCCCAATGGCTCTTTGTTATCTCTAATGTCGGAGGTGGCATACCTGTGTATACCAGTAGCTGGCAGACATGGGTGAGAGGATGCTCATGTACTCCTGTCCTGCTTGTGGGTTTCCCATGGCCTTCTGGTTGGGCACAGTGTATACAGAATTCTGGACTGGATGGGCCATTGGTCTGAACCAGCATGATGCTTACAAGCTTTGTCAGAGTCTGACTCTAACCGTGAGCACAGGCGTAGGCAGCCCGGTGCCCTCAAGATATCTTACACTACAGCTTCCAAAATCCTTGGACATTGACCATGCTTACTGAGGTTGATAGGAGTTGTATTGCAAAACATCTGAAGGGTGTCAGATTGCCTGCCCCAGAACTAGCGTTATGCTCTTTGAATGACATCAGAAGGCTTCTTCTCTAACGTCATTAAGTGCGTTTATTGTTAAAGATTTTATCAGCCCAAGGAATTATGTGGCTTTAATTGTATAGAGAAAAAGACACTTAAATGATAGAGGTGCTGCTTTTTTTAAATCTTCCCCTCTTTTTGTGTTCCCAGTAAGTTATCTGATAGATTGATATATGAATTTGATTGATTTGTTCCCCTCTCTACCAAAAATGGAACTTGAAGTTATTTCATGATTTTGATGTAAGCTTTTCGCGTAAATTAAGAACAAATGTCTCAAATACAAATGGCAGCCCTCCTTCCAAATCCTGTAAGTATTTGCCCCGTGGCTACTCTGACATTCTGTACTTGCCAGGACAAAATAAATGAAAGTTTGCGTATCTGCAAGCAGGGCTGATGCTATCCTGAGGCAAATTGAGGCACCCACCTCAGGCTGCAGAGTTGGAGAAGTGGTAAATGTTGCTTCTCCCAGTCCTACCGGAGCATGAAGAGCCGACCAGCCACTCTCCTGCCATGGTATTTGCTGCAGTGAGAGCTGCTGGTGGGTCTCCCTGGAGCAGCTGCCCACCCTGAAAGTTCCCCTTTCACTTTTCCCCTTAACCCTGCTGCTGAGGGGCCCCAACCAACCAACCTCTTGAGAGCCCCACAGCTGGAAAGAGGCATGAGGCAGAGGCAGTGTGTGTTCTCACTTCAGGTGGTAAGACACCTTGGGCTGCAATTGCCTGCAAGCATAATTATTTTATTAAAAAGCAGGAGATGCGTCTTCATACAGCACATAGTCAGTGGTGGAATTCGCTGCCACAAGATGTAATGCTGTAAAACCAGCTTGGACTGCTTGCAAGGGGGTTTAGACAGATTCATGGAGACTAAGCTGGGGAGCATGGGTGGGATAGTGTTGTTGCGTTCATGTCATGCTTGTGGGCTTTCCGAAGCATCTGATTGGCCACCAAGGGAACAGAATGCCAGGCTCAATAGGCCCTTAGTCTGATTCAGCCGAGCTGTTTTTAATGGACTGCATTGCTGCATTTTGTCCATTGTAGCCTGATTGCTGTATACTTCTGGAGCTGAATCTCAGGCGTAAGAAACACTGACAGATTTTTAAAGATAGATATCAAGCTTTTGGGATTCTTAAAAGTTGTACAATGAAAACACATTTTTTCACACAGGCCTGCTAGTGAAATTATCCATCTAATCAAGATTATTCATTATCTGATTGAGTTAGGTAAAGAGTAGTAACTAAACAGTTTATCCAAGATCATATATATCATGATTACATGAAAATCAAGAGACAGAATCAAAATTTATCTACTCCCAGGTTCTACACTCTGAAACATCTTAACAGGACAATGTTTTATTTAGGGATTATATTGGAGGCAGCTCAAGTGCAGCCCAACAGTAAGAGGAATTTTTTCAGTGTGTTATTAAGTTTCAAACATTCTAAATAATCCAGAACAGAGGGAAGACTGGCAATTTTAATTACTGGTTGGAGCATTTCTTTATTTTGGCTTCAAGGACAAGAGGAATACATAGCTCGTATGGCTTTTCCTTAACTACGTAGAATTCATCTTACTGGAAAACCTGACCTCACGATACGAGGTGCCTTGTGTGTTAGATCTCAAGATGGGAACCCGGCAGCATGGAGATGATGCTTCCGAAGAAAAGAAAGCTAATCAGATCCGGAAGTGTCAGCAGAGTACTTCGGCAGTTATAGGAGTCCGTGTGTGTGGTATGCAGGTGAGTTTAGGAAAAAATGGATAGGAGCAAAAGGAGGTATTTGGAATGAATAGTTTTGACTTAAAGGAGGCAGTGTGTGAAACCACGTTCTACTGTAATTTTTTTTTTTTTTTTTTTTTTTGCAGTAGCAAAAACTCTAGCTTCTTCCTGAGACAGGTATTGAATTACTTTGAATTAGAGAAAGTGGCCCACCTGATTAGAATTGTCATGGAACAGAAGAATTAAATGCAGGCAGGGGTGTACATTCTAATTTTTTCTAAAAATAACAAAAATGCAAGCCTCTAGGGGTTCTTTTAACACAAAGGAATTCAGTGGTGTTAATTTTAAAACAATTCTGTAGCCACCCTACTTCCCACATTTTTTGCTGAGAAATTTCCGTTTTATTCATCCTCTTGCTGAAGAAAGCTCCAGAACATGGCAGTGTCATTGTAATTGGGCAGAAGGGCCACATTGGAGCAATTGCTGTTCCTTATCAGGAAAGGGGAAAATCTGATCAGCAAATCCTCTGTAGGAAATGGAGGCGGTTGTTTCCGCGTGCACGTGCATGGAATGCATTATGCACACAGCAGAGTGTCCTGTTGTCGCATCCTTTATTGGCAGATTCTGCCCAGGCTAGCTTTGGATGCAAAGAACCTGTTTGTCATGAAGCGTATCAGACAGAGTGTGTGCTTTCTGATTCAGCTTTGGATGTCAGAAGTCTCCAGCCGGATCCAGATGTACTTGTGCTTAGAATAGATTTCTTGAAAGGAAGGGGACAAAGTAGTCATGACTAACTTACCTCTCATTGGTTTCAATGGTTCTGCTCTGAAGCTAGCATTGTTGTAAAGGGACATGCCAACTCATTTTAACTGCAGTAAGAAATGGGGCTTTGTAAACTTGACATTAGCGAGAGAGTGATGGTGGCAGATCCTTAGGCCTTTTTCCCATTTCAGTCCCCCTCCAGAGCATACTCACATAAAAACTGTTCAAAGAATCTTGTCTTTGTAGTGTGGGCACTTTAAAAAGCATCCCAAACAGAGTCCCTTTCACAGATAATATGACTCCACAGAGGTAATTATGTTTTGTACTGCCTTTCGGGTTCAAGGCTCCTGAAGGTGACTTACATTGAAGCAATATAATTACATTGGGGCTGCTTCTACCCTTGGCATTTTCTGAAATAGCCTTCCCACAACAAAATCCCATCCTGATGAGGGCCTTGTGGTGGATCACATTGACATTCATCCCATCCCTTTCCTCTTGTGCTGCCAGTTGTGCATCCCGTGTTCGGCTGGATGCCCTTTCTTCCCCTCCACACCCATCCACAACGGCCGCTTTTTTCGTTGTTCAGGGGCAGGGGGGGACCCGGGTCCTGCGGCTCTGCTTCAGGTGTGCCGTTCATCAGTGGCATCCAGACGTTCTGCTGCTGACATACACAGTTGTGGCTTGCTGTGGGAGGCAGCAAATGGGACTGCTTTGACACAGGCCCCTTGTATCTCAGCGGGTGCTTTGCAGGCTCTTGCAAATGTTGTGTGGATGGGAGAGCTTTCAGGAGAATTTTAGAAGGCGGTCACAGTGTAGCACATCTCCACTTGTTTAATTGTTGCTAGATGAGGTCATGTATTTCACTGTGCCTTACTGTGTAAATTTTCAGTAAGAAGCGTATCTGTCTGACTGGTTTATAGAAGCAACTGCCCAACTATGGCTTTTTGTTAATTTATTATATTTCTATATTGCCCTAAGCCAGTTCATAACGGATCTAAAGCTATGTAAAATATTAAAGGGAGTAGTATTGCTTGCCACAATCAGTATGCCATTCATAGCCTGCCTTCCTTGATTGATTGATTGTTTTTGTATGCTGCCCCAAACCCCAGGGGCTCTCTGAGCAGCTCACAAAAATGTGTGACCAACTATTTATCCAAGTGTTTCTTGTGGGGAGCATATTTCTGTTCTCCGCTTTCTAACAAACAGATATGGAGAACCTTTATTTTTCTCTGCTGGACATGAGCTAGTACAATCATTTCAGTTTGGTCTTCATTATCCTTCTAGCAGATACCTACATGATTGGTAGAAGATAGCTTCAGTATTCTAGCAACTTGTGTCAAATGCTAGATTTCTTCTGTCAGCCATCCTTTGTGTGATGTAGACCCACACAGTCATTTTTCTTTAAAATACATTTTTTCTCTTCATGGGCATCCCACTGGGCATGACAAGCAGCAAGTCCAATTGGCAGTAGTTTTGCATCAGAATTAATGAGCACAGGCACGATACCTTTGTTAATGGGCTGAGTACCATTATGCATGTCATAACTTGACTTTGGAAGTGGCAGCCAAAGAAATGTCTAATCCTACTTATATTCTTCAGTCTTATTTTCTGAATAGAAAAAAATAAACCCGAAGAGTTTGTTTTGCAACTAAAAAACAACATGTATTGAGGAATAGGGGACTGCTACAATATACCACCTCTGCTTTTAGCTACCTCAGAGGGTTTTTGCAAAGATTTTCTTCTGGACCAGTAAATTTCTTAGCTGAAGTCCCATACACACTTAATCGGGGAATAAATGCCTTTAAACTCAGCAGGACTTACTTTTGAAGAGACATGTAGGAAACTGCACTGGTAAGGGTTTTAATTCAGAGTTACTTCTGAATTCAGTGCCAATAAATCCTCTCTTGCCTTGTATTTTCTACAGGTTTATCAGCCAGGTACTGGCCAGTTAATGTTTATGAATAAGTACCATGGAAGGAAGCTTTCTGTCCAAGGATTTAAAGAAGCACTTTACCAGTTCTTTCATAATGGCAAATACCTGCGACGAGAACTTTTTGAATCTGTTCTAAAGAAACTGACTGAATTAAAATCGGTCTTGGAGAAACAGGAATCATACCGCTTTTACTCCAGCTCTTTGCTCATTATTTATGATGGAAAGGAGTTACAAGATGTAGCTGTGGACTCTGACCCAGAAGACCTCGAAGGTCTTTCAGAGGAGTCGTCGGATGAATCAGCAGGCGCATATGCTTACAAGCCCACTGCTAGCTCTGTTGATGTTCGAATGATAGACTTTGCCCACACAACATGCAGGTATTATGGAGAAGATAGTGTGGTGCATGAGGGCCAAGATACGGGTTATGTTTTTGGACTTCAAAACTTAATAGTTATTATAAAAGAAATAAGGGACGAAAGCAGCGAATAAACATTTAGAATGCAAAACCGTAGAAAGTGCTATAGTGACTCTTTGTATTCCAGACATATTGACCACTTTCTGGTGGTAGCAACCTGTACAGAATCTGTGGGGATGGCCCCATCAGAGTCAGAGCTGTGCAAAAGAGGGCATTTCCTTTTAGTGGTGCTAGAGGTAGCACTGACACATCTGGGTATCTTTCTTATTTATTTTAACTCTCTCGTAAACATTCCACATTTGATTATTCAAATACCTCTGTTATTCCTGTGTGTATATGTACCAATAAAATTCTTTTTGTTCATTGTAAATGATAATGTTGTCTTTCTCAGCTTGGTCATTTATTAAATAAAGAACAATGGGCAGAGTATCATTTAGGTTAGATGGGCTTCCCCTTCAGGCCTCCTTTACAAAATAAATTACTTACTTGCAGAAAGTTACTCAAGTGTATTCCTGATACTATGTTAGCCCCAGTCATTTGGCAGGAAGAAGTGGGAACTCCCCAAATCCAGTGTTTACTAGGAGCAGGAACATGGGTGTTGGAAGAACACCTCTGATCAGTAGATCACTGAACTGATCTTCTAATCAAGTGTGTGGAATCCTTCACACTGTTTTAAGATGCCAAATATTGCAGAGGGGCCCTTCCAGATTGTACCAAATCATTGCCAACTACTGTTTCCAGTTTACCAGACAGGGCCAGTGTGTCTGTATCCTCCCCATTTGCTGTGCTGTTGTGGAGCAGAATGTTTGGTACTTTTCTCCTTGGCTGAGGTTCCCTCTACCTGATTTTTCTTGGCACTGGAGCCACTTACGTGTCAAAATTTTAGCTTGGGAACTGAACATGCCTTTTTTTTCCAGAAGCCTGCTGAGAATTTCCACTTTTCTCAGTGGGATTTCTTGCCCTTCATCAGCTCTGGGGAATGCAATTTGGATTCAGTGCTTATTTTATGCAGTTTTGAATCCTGAACCAATTCAGTATGACAGATACGCCCTTTAACACCATGGCCACACACAGTTTGCAATGACCAAAATAGAACATATTTTTAAAAATTAATTCTTTTAAGGTTAGTTTGAACTCATGTATTAAAAACATTGGGGAATAAACCCTAGAGAAAAAGTAATACTAATACATTGTATAAGCACAGCAAATAGTCATTGTGCACAGTACTTGCCTACATGACAAATACAATTGTATAAATAAAGAACACCTCTCTCCAATAACTAAAGGCAGGAAACAGAAAAGGGCCCTATTTGTGAAAGTAGCAACCCTACTGTTGCGGATTGTGGTTTGATAGCTTTCCAACAGACCCTGTAGTTCTTTTCACTGTTTATTGGACCGCTTGCTTACTAAATCCATAATCCTATATACATGGGCATAAATCCTGTTAATGAAATTGGGCCCACTTCTGATAGACATGTATTGGATTTCATTGTCAATGTGCAACGTACAGAAGTATCTATATATCACAAAATAAATCTGAAAGAGATTTAACAGGAGTTGCAAATTATATTTAAAATTACATGTATATTACCATTTTAACAATAAGATTTGCAGTTTATGCATTCAATCATTGCATTTTGTCATATTTACCATAGGTACATTTTGCCCAATCCACTCCTTTTAATGTGCTAATTTTCTATGTGCAGGGTTTTTTTTCCAATCAAATTGGGGTGTTCCAGCACTGGAGGTAGGCACCTTGGCTGTGGCAAGTGAGTCGCCTGTGATGTTTCCCTAAGTTAATTTTTGTTATCTTTTCTTACAATAAAGCAAATATAAAAGCCAAAACACTTGAGTAGTGATACTAAGATGGTAGTGAAATTATATCCTTCCTGAAGTATTCCCATAAATAGCACATTTGCCCAAACATGTCAATTTTCATCAAATTTTGTTGCTTTGCTGCTGGTCACCCAGTTGAGTCAAAATCTGGATTTCTTGGGATGACCCTAGACTTCGAGAATGAGAACTAAACTTTCTGCCAATAGTGTTGGTGCCCTTCCTGAAAATACTTTGTGCTTCTGCCCAGATGAAGTTAACTGGAAGACTGCTCAGTATTCAGTGTTGGAGAAATGTACACAATCTTATGAAGCACTTGACCATGCTGGCTTCGCTTGATAGGAGTTACAGTTTAACACATCGGAAGGCACTAAGTTGGGAAGGGCTGTGGATACTTTAAGGAAGACACAGACTGTCCGCACTGAAAATCTTGAGTTTACTGGTTGCCCAGCTTCCTGCTCTTTTCTTCTCAACCTCATTATCGTGCAGCTGAGCCCTCAAGAGCACAGCACCACAGCGCCTCTGTGTGCTCGGGTGTTCGTTCAGCCATTCTTGCACATGCCAACATGCACGGATGTGCGCGCTGCAGAGGCGCAGGCCACAAGCTGCAGCCGCTGCTTCCACCCTCAGCATTGCACTGACCTCTTCCTTTTAGATGCCCAGCTGACTTCCTCTTGCCTTCCCTTTGGTTGCTTTTCTCTAGTTGAGAAGGTGTGTGCCTGAAAGCCTGCGGGTGCTGATGGCTCAGAGGGTGCAGGCTGCCCCGTGCCGGAACAGAGAGGCTGGGGCCTCTAGGTGGGTGTCTCTGTAGCCCCAACAGCAAAACGGGCTTCCCACCTTCCCCGTTTTTGTTGCAGCTAGTTTGGATAGCTTGGCTTCCTTTCTTAACCACACCAATGCAATACACATATGGAAAGAGCTACAAGTGTTGGTTTTCCATAGCAGAGGGGGTAGTCCCAGTGGCCATCTGTATATGTGAGTCTTTGACTGGGGACACAGATCACAACCCTGCATGATTATTTATTTATTTTATTTATTAAAAGCTTTTGTATGCTGTCCTATTATACAAGATCTCAGGATGGCTTACAATATTTAAAAAACAAAACTACAATTTCAATAAATAATAGAACAGAACAATAAATCACAAAACAAACAGAGCCACCATTACCACCATTTGTGGATTTTTACCATTCTCGACCCAACAGATGGGCAGAGGATGGGGTGGCTGGATGGAGTCACTGGGGCAGTGGGTGTGGGCTTGAGTGGACTCCGGGGGATGGTGGCGGACAGGAGAGCCTGAAGGAATGTTGTCCATGGGGTCGCGATGGGTTGGGCGTGACTTTGCAACTAAACAAAGCAACAGATGATCAAGTGGCTCTATGTCATCATGGTTTTCATCCTCCCCGGTTAGTCTTCCTGCTACTGACAAACATTCCATCAGCCCCCATGCCTAAAATTCAATTCCAAGGTGCTTGGTTCCTTGCCTATGTCACCTGCCTCTTCCTCATTGGCCTGCATGTCTGCTGCTAAGCAGCGAAGGATAATAGAGGTTGGATGGCTGGAGATGCTCTCAGTGTTGTCACTCTTTCCAGGGGACTCTGGTAGTTGCATGCCAGGACCATGGGAACCACCAACCTTGGTTTGGCCAACACAACAAGCCATGGTGGTCCAGAAAGACCCTAGAAGAAGCTGTAGTTTCATAGTGTAGTCCCTAAAGATCCAACTTACCCCATGGTCCAAATACTATGACTGACTTTGAGCAATACAGCAGGTCAAGACTAGTCAAAAAACCCACAGTGGCTTGGCATGATGCTACAGAGTGGTATATAAATATAATAAGTGATAGTGGTAGAATGCTCCCTCTCAGCTATGCACTTTTTAAAGAGGTAACTTCTTCAGCATTATGCTCCTTTTCAAACTGCCTTGTTGAGTTGTCCCTGAAATACCCACTTTGCTCATCCATAGAGCCTCTATCCTTTTTTATACATCCTGCTTCTCAGAGGTACAGGATTGAGTGAGCCCCTGGCTCACATTCTGTTGTGTAACTGTTTTTGTAAGTTGTCCAGAGACTTTTAGTATTGGGACGGCATAGAAGAACTTTAAATAAATAAATAACTTATACATAAATAAATAAACAAACAAACCCACAGTCTAGATGTTCCAGGACATTGTCAAAATCTGCCCTGTCCCAAACTTTCAACATTATTATTTTTACTATTATTTCATTTCTATACTGCCTCATAGCCAAAGTTCTCTGGGCTGTTTACAACAATCCATAAAACATGATGATATCATACAGTAAAAATATAGAAACAGAGAAACATTAACAAGTATAAAACAGGTAAAACAGTTATTCAAAGTTGAGGGGCCACCACAGAGACCCACCCCCCTTTGTTGCCATCCTCTGAGGTGCCATTAGACTTGAAACTCATGGGGAGGCCCCAGGGTAGTGTCCAAATGGATTGCAGCTGGGAGAGGTGCTCCAACAGGTGTTCCCAAATCATGTAAGGCATTATAGGTTAAAACCAGCATCTTCAATTGGGCCTGGAAGCACATAGGCAGCCAATGCAAGTGGGCCAGGACTGGCCTTTTGTGTTCAGACCTGTGGGTCCCAGTTATTACTCCGGCTGCCACATTCTACATAAGCTACAACTTCTGAATCATCTTCAAGGGCAGCCCCATCCAGAGAGCACCCACAGTGATCTGATTTAGAGGCTACCAGAGGGTAGATTACCAAAGCCAGGTTATCTCTGTCTACATAGGACATAACTGGCCATCAACCTAAGCCAGGAGTTGGCAACCTTTAACACTCAAAGAGCCATTTGGACCCGTTTCCCACAGAAAAGAAAACACCGAAAGCCTCAAAACACTTTTGACATCTAAAATGAAGAGAACACTGCATATATCGTTTTTTACCTTTATGCTATGTATAAAAAAACTATAGTGTGTTGCATTTATGAAATCAATGAACTGCTACAGAGAAAACAATTTTTTGTTTCTGCATGCAACAAAAATATTTTGAACTCCGAAAAAAAGACGCTGGGTTGAAGGTTACTTTCAAATAAAATACTCAATGTCTATTTGAGTCCTCCTTGTATTTATGAAATAAAAAGCTGAACTTAAACTATCCACCTGCAGCAAACCAAAAATGTGGTCTGCTTCTGTGTGCCCTCATGTACTGGAGGGTGCAGTCAGCTGTCAACCTGAATAAAAAAAAAAACTAACTGATACTTTCATCCAGTAAGTAGAGTTTCTGTAATACAACAAATATAAATAATAGTCTGGTGAAATATTGAACAAACATCCCTCTCCCAATGTAATAATGTTGCTGGAAGTTTTATAAGAATCTTCTTAAAACAAGGAAGTAGATCTATATCTTCATTATGATTTAGCTGCAGCTCTTGTTCAGTCACTAAAAACTGTTATTTTTAATCTTACATTATAAACTAGTAGGACTCCTTTCATATATTTGGAATAGAAGAACAGCTTCCTGCACAGTCAAAGTCAGTGCTAAAGGGCTGCATGCGTTAAACAGCA